GAGGTATTGAGAGGTTGCATAGCACCCTAAGCGATCACTTACGTATATACCAGGGGGAGCAGGGTTTAGAAGCGGACGTAGCAATGCAGAGGGCGGTAGCGGCCTACAACCATTCAATCCACTCCGTTACAGGGTTTTCCCCAGTCGAGGTACTGTTCGGGATAAATATACGGCGTCGAGATTGGAGGGAAACAGTCACGAGCGAGGACCACGCTCAACAGATAACGTGTAACAGAGCGGAAATAAGGAAAGTGTGGGAGAAAACGAAAGGGAGAATAGAGAGAGAGAAGCGGAAGAGGGTGGAAAAGGTTAATTTGAACCTCAAAGATCGAATGGGTACATTGAAAATAGGGACGATAGTCTATCGGAGGGTCGGATCCAATAGGGGGAAGGAATTGGTACGCTACGAAGGACCATTCAAGGTAATCGTGCTTCGCGAGCACAATATTTGCACAATCCAAAGTCTGAAGGATCCCAGAAAAAGGAGGACCGTGCACATAGAACAGTTAAAGCTCCTGATAGAGACGGAGTCATTAAAATAATTATGTGGTATATCCTCTTTTCTGCCTCCTACAAGCTAGGGACAGACGTTAAACGGTTATTTGATTTTGTTTCACTTTCTTTTTGTTTTGTTCGAGGATGTTGTAAGATGACAGTATTTTAATTTTATTTTGTTTTATTACTATTGCTATTGTATGAACTTTAGTGGAGATTATTTTTTGTTGTTTATGTATTATGTCGGTAGCCCTGCATTAGTTTATGAGGTATGTTCATAAACTGGCGGGGGGGAGTTATGGTTAGATGTAAGATAATATAATATTTAATCCTATCTGTAAAGTATAAACAAACCGTAATGCTATATATATAGCATTACGGAGAGAATAAAGTCAGTCTTTACCGAGCAACCGAGTGTGTTATTTGCTATCCTTTCTTTCTTTTTTTTATTCTTTCCTGTTCAGACGATCGTAAGTTATACACACATACATATAAATATAAATATTTTAATCTTCCTATTTAATTATAACTAATCGAGATTATTTAGCCCATGCATATATTTTTAAACAATTATAAACTATTTAAATAATTTTAACTTATTGACATAATTTTATTTGTATATATATTTTCAATCTATTTATTTTATTTTAACTAACTAAAATTATTTTATCTATGTATATATTTTTAATCAATTTATTTAATATTAACCTATTAACAAGATTTTATCTGTGTATATATTTATTTAAAATTAATTTATTTATCTATTTTTAACTTATAAGAATATTTTAACCTATTTATGTATAGTGATGTGGATGATAACTTTATTGTAAAGATAAAAAAGATATGGATGCAAATCTGAATAATTCCAAGAGGGTCGATCTAGGTCAGAGAGTATGGGTTCTGATATCAGGAGGCACAGTCCAGGAAGCAGTAGTGGCATCTGTGATGTCTGTTGCTGCCGCAGGAGGCACTGATAAAAAGTTCGTCAAGGTGGAGTGGCAGGGTGAAGATGGCCAAACATTGGGCAAAACAATATCAATTGATGAAGTATTTCCTAGTTTGCCTGAAACAGCACAGACATCCAGAGACCCTAGTGGGAAAATAAAAGTGAGGAAAGAAGACCCTTCCTCAGAGGTTAATGACAAAGTATGCCCCATTTGTGGGCCGAGTTTCAAGGGTGATAGAGGTCTCAGAACCCATATAGCTAAGAAGCACCCTAGGAGGCAAATGACGCTAGAATGAGGGGCTTGATTGGTAATAAAGAAAGGGGGAAAATGGAGAGGATAAGGAAGAGTGAGTAAAGAAAGAAATAGCAAAATGGTCAGCTACCTTCCAGAAATTTGTTCGGCAAAATAATGTGGTTAATGTGGAATTCGACAAGGCAGTGGGCAATTTTCTAAAATTTCTAAAAACCATCAACGAAGAATTGCCTGGCCCACAACACCCTGCCGTTAAGTTCTATAAGCTAAGAAGGAAAAACAAAACTGATATGGTTGACAAAGGTGATGGAAAAGTGTCAAAGCCACAGAGGGTCAACAAGGCGGATAGGAGTCGTCGGCAAGAACGATATATATATATACGGATTCAAACAAAATTTCAAGAAGTTAAAATTAAACAAATTTATTAAAATTTATGCACAAATTAAATGTCAGTAAGTAGAATTAAATAAAAGAATTTTTTAAAAATGTTTAAAAAATATATACATTGATAAAATAGTTTTAGTAAGTTAAAATAAAAATAAAATAAATAGATTAAAAATATATATACTAATGAAATAATGTCAATGTGTTAAAATTAATTAAATAGAATAATACTGTTTAAAAATATATGCATGGGTTAAATAATGTCATTAGTTAAAATTTAATAGGTAGATTAATAATATTTCAATATACATACATATATAGAAATAGAAATAGAAATAGAAAAATAACTTTATTCTGGGACACAGTCCCTTGAGAATAACAAAATAGAACAAAATTAAAATATTACATCTGGCCAAAATAAAATCAATCGAAAAAAAGAAATAATGTAAAAAAAATATAAGGTAAAAATTCTATATACAAAACAAACTAAACTATATACAAAACCATTAATACTATGACAAGATACTTAAAGCTATTTGCTCTTATAGACCAGTATACACTTTTACGAAAAAAATAAAGAATTAAAAAACAAAAATGTATCAAATTCTCTATTAAAATCAGCTCGAATGGTTAGCAACTATCTGACTGTTTTTGGGATAGGAATTGGAATAGGAGGGTTTTGAATGTGGATATGGATGGGGAATGTCGAATTTTGATAGGGAGGGAATTCCAGAAATTGACAGAGCGAACAATAAAGGAATTTTGGAATGAGGCAGATCTGTGAGAAGGCATGTAAAGGTTAGAAGGTCGAGATCTTGTGGACAGGGAATGGACTGAGGATTTGAACTGGAGAAGGTTGTAGGCGTAAGAAGGACGATGGTTGTTGATGATTTGGTAGAGGAACGTACTTAGGAAATATTGTCTTTGGAAGGAGGGGAAAAGCCACTTTAACTCACCGTAGTGGTGAGAAACATGGGAGTATCTTGGGGCCCCGATCACAAATCTTACGCAGCTGTTCATTAGTCTTTTCAGTCTATCACGGAGCTCCACAGAGAGGCCATCATACACCACACAGCTATAGTCAAAGTGGGGGAAAATGAGAGAGGAAACTAGGAGTCTACGTGTATGTTGAGGTAGGAGATGGCGGAAGCGATGGAATAGTTTGAGGGTGGAAATTGTCCGTCGAGTGATATGAGAAATATGGTGATTCCAAAAGAGGTTTTGATCAATGAAAAATCCTAAATTTTTAACAGAGGAGTAGAAGGAGATTGGCTGATCATTAAGGTGAAGGATGGGAAAGTCTGTATAGTATCTAAGGAGGGGCTTGGAACCAATGACAATGGCCTGAGTTTTGGCAGCATTTAACCTTAATCCATTTACATTTGCCCAGGCACTGATTCGATCTAGATCTTCTTGGATCTTGGCAAATGCCCCCAGTAACTCAGGAGGGAAAAATGATAGGTACATCTGTGGATCGTCTGCATAAAGGTGATGGGAACAATGGAGAATTGATTTAGGTAGGTCGTTAATGTAGGATCTGAAAAGGAGAGGAGATATGCTTGAACCCTAGACAACTCCAGAGGATAAAGAAAGGAAAGCAGATAGTGGTTGGTTGGGTATGGAGACTGCTTGGGTACATTGTGAAAGGAAAGATTAAAACCAAGAGATGGAACTATTGGAGAAGGATAATAATTTCAGTTTGTTGAAAAGGATGGAATGGTTGATGGAATCGAAGGCTTTGGAGAAGTTGAGAAGGATAAGGATTGTTAACTTTTTATCATCTATTGTAGTTTGAATGTTGCTGGTGATTTTAATTTGTGTGTTTTTAGTGCTTCGATGTCTTTATTAGATAAGTTGAAACACCTACTATGGTAAATAATTTTACATTTTGCACAGTTAATATTGTTTTTGTCCTCGCGTGCAATATATATATATTGAATTATATATATATATATATATATAAATATGGATTAAAAAAAAAAATGTCAAGAAGTTAAAATTACAATTAAATATAATAAATTAAATTAAATTAAATATAATAAAGAATTACATACATGTGTGCATCAACATACCCTTCAAGCAAATAAGTCATAAAAGAAGATCCATTCCTCATGAAAAAAAAAAAAAAAAATCTATACCCAATTACTATCGTATATACATACATGCGAAATATCGTTATTACGATATTTATTATTTTCCACTATAAAAAGAAGTCAGGCTAGTGTGATTACAGACACCAGGTTGAAGTCGTCAGATTGGTGACAGCTGACAATGACCCTGGCAGCCAGCTGGTGGAGCACGGTGGTGGGAGATGCTGGTATATTCCTTATGGTAGATAAGGGCCAAGCCTGGGTTATGAGCAGCTTCCTTTACCCTCGATTAATTCCGAAGACACTCAATAGATTTTCTTCGAATTTCGTACCACGATCACAATCCCTTCCAACGACATTCGTGACAATTTTGGACTCGAACGGATGAGAAAAAACACATCACATGAGAGTATAACATCGACCCGATGTTGCTCCGTCATAGGCTCAAGCCTAAAACATTTGCTTTGTTTTTTTCCTGTTTTCCTTTTTACTACCAGTTAATCCAAATAGTTGATCAAGTGGAAGATGGTTAATTGGGGTACTACAGTATCATATTTGTGATACTGTTTAGTTTACCAAGAACATCCTGTGAAACCATATAACCATGTTGTCTCCCCCCCCCCCCTCCCCAAAAAAAAAAAACTTTGTTAAAATAATTATATCATACCTTGTACAGTTTAAACCTTTCACATTGTTTTTGATTTTAAGTATATCAATTATGATAACCTATTACCATGAATGTGTGAATACATCTTTTATTATATGAACTTGATTTAAATTGTATGTGTTTCATATAACTAATTTCTATTTTTTTTTTTTTTTTTTTTATTAGACATAAAAGAAATGCCTTCTGATGATTCGTCTTGTGAGCCATTAAATTTGTACAATATTTGGAAGGTAAAAAGAGAATCATTTGGTGAAATTATGTCTAATGTCATAGACATTACAAATGATAGTGATTCTGACTCTGATTCAGATAAAGAAACCCCTCAAAAAGAAAAATCCCTTTATGAACTTTTAACTGTTTCGGGTTTAGCTCTTAAAAGTGTAAATGATGATTTTTCTCCATCAAAAACCATCATAAGCAAAAATAAAACTTTGGAAGATAAGAATACATTTAAAAAAGAAAATGGTTCAGATAAAAAAATCTCCCAAAATGTTGAATTGGTGCAAAAAATAAGAGGAAGTCATCCACGATTAGCATACTTAGGGAAATCTCGATATTTTACATCGCTAAGGGAAATCTATTTACCCTTAATAGAAATGTGTAAATCATCTTCATGGGAACAGAAAGCTGTTGATGAGGTAATATTCATTAATATATATTATATATTTTACCTATTTTCAGTTCTTTCCCTCTTACAGTAACTGTATATGAAGGTCGTGTATTGTTAATTTTACATGCATTACGCATAATACAAGTATCAGTTAAAGTATTATAATTCTTATAAAAGTTATAAATTATATGATTTTAGTTATAATACAAAGTTCACTTTTTCCTAATAAATCATTTAAAACAAAATAAAATAGACAATACATAAGTTAATTATAATTTTAAAAGACATTTTGCATGGTTTAGTCAGTGCTTTCATTAAATAATAAATAATTATTTCTACATCACAACTTATTATTTTTTAAATTATTTTTGTCTCTGTCTCTGTAAGATTCTGGTTCATTTCATCAATAGCAAACTGTTTTTTTAACTGTAGAAGAAAGTTTTTGTTAAATTTGTCCCAATCCGCGGCCTTGGTTATGTAGCATTTTTACACAAATTATTGTTTGGAGGTTCCAAGTCAGGATAGAAGGTTATATGATAGCAAATTGATCTATGAACCAAAAAAATTGTGTCATCCAGTAATTTCCAGCATTGTCTTAATTGTGCAGTTTTAATGTTAAATATAGTTAAACCGATGTTTTTTTTCCTCTGGTGTTCTCAAACGTCATTAAACTAGATATCCAGCATTGTCTTAATTGTGCAGTTTTAATGTTACATATAGTTAAACCGATGTTTTTTTTCCTCTCGTGTTCTCAAACGTCATTAAACTAGATATCCAGCCATGTCTTAATTGTGCAGTTTTAATGTTACATATAGTTAAACCGATGTTTTTTTTTCCTCTCCTGTTCTCAAACTCCATTAAACTAGATATCCAGCCATGTCTTAATTGTGCAGTTTTAATGTTACATATAGTTAAACCGATGTTTTTTTTTTCCTCTCCTGTTCTCAAACGACATTAAACTAGATATCCAGCCATGTCTTAATTGTGCAGTTTTAATGTTACATATAGTTAAACCGATGTTTTTTTTTTCCTCTCGTGTTCTCAAACGTCATTAAACTAGATATCCAGCCATGTCTTAATTGTGCAGTTTTAATGTTACATATAGTTAAACCGATGTTTTTTTTTCCTCTCGTGTTCTCAAACGTCATTAAACTAGATATCCAGCCATGTCTTAACTGTACAGTTTTAATGTTACATATAGTTAAACCGATGTTTTTTTTTTCCTCTCTTGTTCTCAAACGACATTAAACTAGATATCCAGCCATGTCTTAATTGTGCAGTTTTAATGTTACATATAGTTAAATCGATGTTTTTTTTTTCCTCTCCTGTTCTCAAACGACATTAAACTAGATATCCAGCCATGTCTTAATTGTGCAGTTTTAATGTTACATATAGTTAAACCGATGTTTTTTTTCCTCTCGTGTTCTCAAACGTCATTAAACTAGATATCCAGCCATGTCTTAATTGTGCAGTTTTAATGTTACATATAGTTAAACCGATGTTTTTTTTTCCTCTCCTGTTCTCAAACTCCATTAAACTAGATATCCAGCCATGTCTTAATTGTGCAGTTTTAATGTTACATATAGTTAAACCGATGTTTTTTTTTCCTCTCGTGTTCTCAAACGTCATTAAACTAGATATCCAGCCATGTCTTAACTGTACAGTTTTAATGTTACATATAGTTAAACCGATGTTTTTTTTTTCCTCTCTTGTTCTCAAACGACATTAAACTAGATATCCAGCCATGTCTTAATTGTGCAGTTTTAATGTTACATATAGTTAAATCGATGTTTTTTTTTTCCTCTCCTGTTCTCAAACGACATTAAACTAGATATCCAGCCATGTCTTAATTGTGCAGTTTTAATGATACATATAGTTAAACCGATGTTTTTTTTCCTCTCGTGTTCTCAAACGTCATTAAACTAGATATCCAGCCATGTCTTAATTGTGCAGTTTTAATGTTACATATAGTTAAACCGATGTTTTTTTTTCCTCTCCTGTTCTCAAACTCCATTAAACTAGATATCCAGCCATGTCTTAATTGTGCAGTTTTAATGTTACATATAGTTAAACCGATGTTTTTTTTTCCTCTCCTGTTCTCAAACTCCATTAAACTAGATATCCAGCCATGTCTTAATTGTGCAGTTTTAATGTTACATATAGTTAAACCGATGTTTTTTTTTTCCTCTCTTGTTCTCAAACGACATTAAACTAGATATCCAGCCATGTCTTAATTGTACAGTTTTAATGTTACATATAGTTAAACCGATGTTTTTTTTTTCCTCTTCTGTTCTCAAACGACATTAAACTAGATATCCAGCCATGTCTTAATTGTGCAGTTTTAATGTTACATATAGTTAAACCGATGTTTTTTTTTTCCTCTCGTGTTCTCAAACGTCATTAAACTAGATATCCAGCCATGTCTTAATTGTGTAGTTTTAATGTTACATATAGTTAAACCGATGTTTTTTTTTCCTCTCCTATTCTCAAACTCCATTAAACTAGATATCCAGCCATGTCTTAATTGTGCAGTTTTAATGTTACATATAGTTAAACCGATGTTTTTTTTTCCTCTCCTGTTCTCAAACTCCATTAAACTAGATATCCAGCCATGTCTTAATTGTGCAGTTTTAATGTTACATATAGTTAAACCGATGTTTTTTTTTTCCTCTCCTGTTCTCAAACGACATTAAACTAGATATCCAGCCATGTCTTAATTGTGCAGTTTTAATGTTACATATAGTTAAACCGATGTTTTTTTTTCCTCTCGTGTTCTCAAACGTCATTAAACTAGATATCCAGCCATGTCTTAATTGTGCAGTTTTAATGTTACATATAGTTAAACCGATGTTTTTTTTTCCTCTCGTGTTCTCAAACGTCATTAAACTAGATATCCAGCCATGTCTTAACTGTACAGTTTTAATGTTACATATAGTTAAACCGATGTTTTTTTTTCCTCTCCTGTTCTCAAACTCCATTAAACTAGATATCCAGCCATGTCTTAATTGTGCAGTTTTAATGTTACATATAGTTAAACCGATGTTTTTTTTTCCTCTCCTGTTCTCAAACGACATTAAACTAGATATCCAGCCATGTCTTAATTGTGCAGTTTTAATGTTACATATAGTTAAACCGATGTTTTTTTTTCCTCTCGTGTTCTCAAACGTCATTAAACTAGATATCCAGCCATGTCTTAATTGTGTAGTTTTAATGTTACATATAGTTAAACCGATGTTTTTTTTTCCTCTCCTGTTCTCAAACTCCATTAAACTAGATATCCAGCCATGTCTTAATTGTGCAGTTTTAATGTTACATATAGTTAAACCGATGTTTTTTTTTCCTCTCCTGTTCTCAAACTCCATTAAACTAGATATCCAGCCATGTCTTAATTGTGCAGTTTTAATGTTACATATAGTTAAACCGATGTTTTTTTTCCTCTCGTGTTCTCAAACGTCATTAAACTAGATATCCAGCCATGTCTTAATTGTGCAGTTTTAATGTTACATATAGTTAAACCGATGTTTTTTTTTCCTCTCCTGTTCTCAAACTCCATTAAACTAGATATCCATCCATGTCTTAATTGTGCAGTTTTAATGTTACATATAGTTAAACCGATGTTTTTTTTTTCCTCTCCTGTTCTCAAACGACATTAAACTAGATATCCAGCCATGTCTTAATTGTGCAGTTTTAATGTTACATATAGTTAAACCGATGTTTTTTTTTTCCTCTCTTGTTCTCAAACGACATTAAACTAGATATCCAGCCATGTCTTAATTGTGCAGTTTTAATGTTACATATAGTTAAACCGATGTTTTTTTTCCTCTCGTGTTCTCAAACGTCATTAAACTAGATATCCAGCCATGTCTTAATTGTGCAGTTTTAATGTTACATATAGTTAAACCGATGTTTTTTTTTCCTCTCCTGTTCTCAAACTCCATTAAACTAGATATCCAGCCATGTCTTAATTGTGCAGTTTTAATGTTACATATAGTTAAACCGATGTTTTTTTTTTCCTCTCCTGTTCTCAAACGACATTAAACTAGATATCCAGCCATGTCTTAATTGTGCAGTTTTAATGTTACATATAGTTAAACCGATGTTTTTTTTTTCCTCTCGTGTTCTCAAACGTCATTAAACTAGATATCCAGCCATGTCTTAATTGTGCAGTTTTAATGTTACATATAGTTAAACCGATGTTTTTTTTTCCTCTCCTATTCTCAAACTCCATTAAACTAGATATCCAGCCATGTCTTAATTGTGCAGTTTTAATGTTACATATAGTTAAACCGATGTTTTTTTTTCCTCTCCTGTTCTCAAACTCCATTAAACTAGATATCCAGCCATGTCTTAATTGTGCAGTTTTAATGTTACATATAGTTAAACCGATGTTTTTTTTCCTCTCGTGTTCTCAAACGTCATTAAACTAGATATCCAGCCATGTCTTAATTGTGCAGTTTTAATGTTACATATAGTTAAACCGATGTTTTTTTTTCCTCTCCTGTTCTCAAACTCCATTAAACTAGATATCCATCCATGTCTTAATTGTGCAGTTTTAATGTTACATATAGTTAAACCGATGTTTTTTTTTTCCTCTCCTGTTCTCAAACGACATTAAACTAGATATCCAGCCATGTCTTAATTGTGCAGTTTTAATGTTACATATAGTTAAACCGATGTTTTTTTTTTCCTCTCGTGTTCTCAAACGTCATTAAACTAGATATCCAGCCATGTCTTAATTGTGCAGTTTTAATGTTACATATAGTTAAACCGATGTTTTTTTTTCCTCTCGTGTTCTCAAACGTCATTAAACTAGATATCCAGCCATGTCTTAACTGTACAGTTTTAATGTTACATATAGTTAAACCGATGTTTTTTTTTTTCCTCTCTTGTTCTCAAACGACATTAAACTAGATATCCAGCCATGTCTTAATTGTGCAGTTTTAATGTTACATATAGTTAAACCGATGTTTTTTTTTTCCTCTCGTGTTCTCAAACGTCATTAAACTAGATATCCAGCCATGTCTTAATTGTGTAGTTTTAATGTTACATATAGTTAAACCGATGTTTTTTTTTTCCTCTCCTATTCTCAAACTCCATTAAACTAGATATCCAGCCATGTCTTAATTGTGCAGTTTTAATGTTACATATAGTTAAACCGATGTTTTTTTTTCCTCTCTTGTTCTCAAACGACATTAAACTAGATATCCAGCCATGTCTTAATTGTGCAGTTTTAATGTTACATATAGTTAAACCGATGTTTTTTTTTCCTCTCCTGTTCTCAAACTCCATTAAACTAGATATCCAGCCATGTCTTAATTGTGCAGTTTTAATGTTACATATAGTTAAACCGATGTTTTTTTTTCCTCTCCTGTTCTCAAACTCCATTAAACTAGATATCCAGCCATGTCTTAATTGTGCAGTTTTAATGTTACATATAGTTAAACCGATGTTTTTTTTTTCCTCTCGTGTTCTCAAACGACATTAAACTAGATATCCAGCCATGTCTTAATTGTGCAGTTTTAATGTTACATATAGTTAAACCGATGTTTTTTTTCCTCTCGTGTTCTCAAACGTCATTAAACTAGATATCCAGCCATGTCTTAATTGTGCAGTTTTAATGTTACATATAGTTAAACCGATGTTTTTTTTTCCTCTCCTGTTCTCAAACTCCATTAAACTAGATATCCAGCCATGTCTTAATTGTGCAGTTTTAATGTTACATATAGTTAAACCGATGTTTTTTTTTTCCTCTCTTGTTCTCAAACTCCATTAAACTAGATATCCAGCCATGTCTTAATTGTGCAGTTTTAATGTTACATATAGTTAAACCGATGTTTTTTTTTCCTCTCCTGTTCTCAAACTCCATTAAACTAGATATCCAGCCATGTCTTAATTGTGCAGTTTTAATGTTACATATAGTTAAACCGATGTTTTTTTTTTCCTCTCTTGTTCTCAAACGACATTAAACTAGATATCCAGCCATGTCTTAATTGTACAGTTTTAATGTTACATATAGTTAAACCGATGTTTTTTTTTTCCTCTCGTGTTCTCAAACGACATTAAACTAGATATCCAGCCATGTCTTAATTGTGCAGTTTTAATGTTACATATAGTTAAACCGATGTTTTTTTTTCCTCTCGTGTTCTCAAACGTCATTAAACTAGATATCCAGCCATGTCTTAATTGTGCAGTTTTAATGTTACATATAGTTAAACCGATGTTTTTTTTTCCTCTCCTGTTCTCAAACTCCATTAAACTAGATATCCAGCCATGTCTTAATTGTGCAGTTTTAATGTTACATATAGTTAAACCGATGTTTTTTTTTCCTCTCCTGTTCTCAAACGACATTAAACTAGATATCCAGCCATGTCTTAATTGTGCAGTTTTAATGTTACATATAGTTAAACCGATGTTTTTTTTTTCCTCTCGTGTTCTCAAACGTCATTAAACTAGATATCCAGCCATGTCTTAATTGTGCAGTTTTAATGTTACATATAGTTAAACCGATGTTTTTTTTTCCTCTCGTGTTCTCAAACGTCATTAAACTAGATATCCAGCCATGTCTTAATTGTGCAGTTTTAATGTTACATATAGTTAAACCGATGTTTTTTTTTCCTCTCCTGTTCTCAAACGACATTAAACTAGATATCCAGCCATGTCTTAATTGTGCAGTTTTAATGTTACATATAGTTAAACCGATGTTTTTTTTTCCTCTCCTGTTCTCAAACTCCATTAAACTAGATATCCAGCCATGTCTTAATTGTGCAGTTTTAATGTTACATATAGTTAAACCGATGTTTTTTTTTCCTCTCTGTTCTCAAACGTCATTAAACTAGATATCCAGCCATGTCTTAATTGTGCAGTTTTAATGTTACATATAGTTAAACCGATGTTTTTTTTTCCTCTCCTGTTCTCAAACTCCATTAAACTAGATATCCAGCCATGTCTTAATTGTGCAGTTTTAATGTTACATATAGTTAAACCGATGTTTTTTTTTTCCTCTCCTGTTCTCAAACGACATTAAACTAGATATCCAGCCATGTCTTAATTGTGCAGTTTTAATGTTACATATAGTTAAACCGATGTTTTTTTTTTCCTCTCTGTTCTCAAACGACATTAAACTAGATATCCAGCCATGTCTTAATTGTGCAGTTTTAATGTTACATATAGTTAAACCGATGTTTTTTTTTCCTCTCGTGTTCTCAAACGTCATTAAACTAGATATCCAGCCATGTCTTAATTGTGCAGTTTTAATGTTACATATAGTTAAACCGATGTTTTTTTTTCCTCTCCTGTTCTCAAACTCCATTAAACTAGATATCCAGCCATGTCTTAATTGTGCAGTTTTAATGTTACATATAGTTAAACCGATGTTTTTTTTTTCCTCTCCTGTTCTCAAACGACATTAAACTAGATATCCAGCCATGTCTTAATTGTGCAGTTTTAATGTTACATATAGTTAAACCGATGTTTTTTTTTCCTCTCGTGTTCTCAAACGTCATTAAACTAGATATCCAGCCATGTCTTAATTGTGTAGTTTTAATGTTACATATAGTTAAACCGATGTTTTTTTTTCCTCTCCTATTCTCAAACTCCATTAAACTAGATATCCAGCCATGTCTTAATTGTGCAGTTTTAATGTTACATATAGTTAAACCGATGTTTTTTTTTCCTCTCCTGTTCTCAAACTCCATTAAACTAGATATCCAGCCATGTCTTAATTGTGCAGTTTTAATGTTACATATAGTTAAACCGATGTTTTTTTTTCCTCTCGTGTTCTCAAACGTCATTAAACTAGATATCCAGCCATGTCTTAATTGTGCAGTTTTAATGTTACATATAGTTAAACCGATGTTTTTTTTTCCTCTCCTGTTCTCAAACTCCATTAAACTAGATATCCAGCCATGTCTTAATTGTGCAGTTTTAATGTTACATATAGTTAAACCGATGTTTTTTTTTCCTCTCCTGTTCTCAAACGACATTAAACTAGATATCCAGCCATGTCTTAATTGTGCAGTTTTAATGTTACATATAGTTAAACCGATGTTTTTTTTTTCCTCTCGTGTTCTCAAACGTCATTAAACTAGATATCCAGCCATGTCTTAATTGTGCAGTTTTAATGTTACATATAGTTAAACCGATGTTTTTTTTTCCTCTCGTGTTCTCAAACGTCATTAAACTAGATATCCAGCCATGTCTTAACTGTACAGTTTTAATGTTACATATAGTTAAACCGATGTTTTTTCTTTCCTCTCTTGTTCTCAAACGACATTAAACTAGATATCCAGCCATGTCTTAATTGTGCAGTTTTAATGTTACATATAGTTAAACCGATGTTTTTTTTTTCCTCTCGTGTTCTCAAACGTCATTAAACTAGATATCCAGCCATGTCTTAATTGTGTAGTTTTAATGTTACATATAGTTAAACCGATGTTTTTTTTTTCCTCTCCTATTCTCAAACTCCATTAAACTAGATATCCAGCCATGTCTTAATTGTGCAGTTTTAATGTTACATATAGTTAAACCGATGTTTTTTCTTTCCTCTCTTGTTCTCAAACGACATTAAACTAGATATCCAGCCATGTCTTAATTGTGCAGTTTTAATGTTACATATAGTTAAACCGATGTTTTTTTTTCCTCTCCTGTTCTCAAACTCCATTAAACTAGATATCCAGCCATGTCTTAATTGTGCAGTTTTAATGTTACATATAGTTAAACCTATGTTTTTTTTTCCTCTCCTGTTCTCAAACTCCATTAAACTAGATATCCAGCCATGTCTTAATTGTGCAGTTTTAATGTTACATATAGTTAAACCGATGTTTTTTTTTTCCTCTCGTGTTCTCAAACGTCATTAAACTAGATATCCAGCCATGTCTTAATTGTGCAGTTTTAATGTTACATATAGTTAAACCGATGTTTTTTTTCCTCTTGTGTTCTCAAACGTCATTAAACTAGATATCCAGCCATGTCTTAATTGTGCAGTTTTACTGTTACATATAGTTAAACCGATGTTTTTTTTTCCTCTCCTGTTCTCAAACTCCATTAAACTAGATATCCAGCCATGTCTTAATTGTGCAGTTTTAATGTTACATATAGTTAAACCGATGTTTTTTTTTCCTCTCTTGTTCTCAAACTCCATTAAACTAGATATCCAGCCATGTCTTAATTGTGCAGTTTTAATGTTACATATAGTTAAACCGATGTTTTTTTTTCCTCTCCTGTTCTCAAACTCCATTAAACTAGATATCCAGCCATGTCTTAATTGTGCAGTTTTAATGTTACATATAGTTAAACCGATGTTTTTTTTTTCCTCTCTTGTTCTCAAACGACATTAAACTAGATATCCAGCCATGTCTTAATTGTACAGTTTTAATGTTACATATAGTTAAACCGATGTTTTTTTTTTCCTCTCTTGTTCTCAAACGACATTAAACTAGATATCCAGCCATGTCTTAATTGTGCAGTTTTAATGTTACATATAGTTAAACCGATGTTTTTTTTCCTCTCGTGTTCTCAAACGTCATTAAACTAGATATCCAGCCATGTCTTAATTGTGCAGTTTTAATGTTACATATAGTTAAACCGATGTTTTTTCTCCTCTCCTGTTCTCAAACTCCATTAAACTAGATATCCAGCCATGTCTTAATTGTGCAGTTTTAATGTTACATATAGTTAAACCGATGTTTTTTTTTTCCTCTCCTGTTCTCAAACGACATTAAACTAGATATCCAGCCATGTCTTAATTGTGCAGTTTTAATGTTACATATAGTTAAACCGATGTTTTTTTTTTCCTCTCGTGTTCTCAAACGTCATTAAACTAGATATCCAGCCATGTCTTAATTGTGCAGTTTTAATGTTACATATAGTTAAACCGATGTTTTTTTTTCCTCTCGTGTTCTCAAACGTCATTAAACTAGATATCCAGCCATGTCTTAACTGTACAGTTTTAATGTTACATATAGTTAAACCGATGTTTTTTTTTTCCTCTCTTGTTCTCAAACGACATTAAACTAGATATCCAGCCATGTCTTAATTGTGCAGTTTTAATGTTACATATAGTTAAACCGATGTTTTTTTTTTCCTCTCGTGTTCTCAAACGT